CTCTCTCTCTCTCTCTCTCTCTCTCTCTCTCTCTCTCTCTCTCTCTCTCTCGTCTCTCTCGTTGCGCCATCCGTCGCGACCGCGACACGCTGTGACGTCATCATACCCGCAGTGACGTCACTACCGGATCCGCCGCCGGCCTGGAGCGTGTGCCGAGTACCTTTTGAATGGCATACGGTGGCCGGCGGCTGGGACTGTTGTCACTTTGATCGATTCAGGGACACAGCTGTGTATGAGTCAACTCACATTCAACATGAGTGAGGTTATTAACCCGCGCGGCAGAGGTACCCAGTATCTCTGGTCTGATCCGGCCGGATAAATTCACCAGGAAAGTGCGCATTTACCTGCCGTTTGGAAGTGCTGCTGCAAGAATAATAGCATTCGTGTCACTACACCCTAGCAGTCTATAGCTCTGTATTGCTATGTGATATGCATAAATGAGCAAATGTAAGCTATGAGCGCCATATGCTACCATAATTGTCTTCGTATGAATAAAAACACCCTAAAATACAATAGAATGAAAACTTTGTGCCGCCTTTGAGCGCCCGGTTGTAGCTAAGTCCCGCCACACGATTGCCGCCGTTTTCCTTATGCATTTAAATGCACACAAACAAATCTCAGAATTGAGAAAAGTCGGATTGTACACAAACAACGTATCCCAGAATGTCATATGAAAACTTTGGTCACAGATAACAGTAGTACAGTAGATCTACAGATAACAGTAGTACCTACTACTGTTATCTGTGCTTTGCTATAAAAAGTCGTTCAAAAGATGATTGCTTCAGCCAGCCAGAATTTGTTAGAATCGGAGAATAGACAACATATTGTAATTGCACTGTATTTGTAAATAAAAGCTTCCCTGCCTTCCTATGCTAATATGCAAGGTGACTAAATTACAAAATACTACTCCGCCTGGGATGGCAAAGATATTACATTAAACAACCTAGACATTCTCTCTCTCTCTCTCTCTCTCTCTCTCTCTCTCTCTCTCTCTCTCTCTCTCTCTCTCTCTCTCTCTCTCTCTCTCTCTCTCTCTCTCTCTCTCTCTCTCTCTCTCTCTCTCTCTCTCTCTCTCTCTCTCTCTCTCTCTCTCTCTCTCTGGCTCTCTCTCTCTCTCTCTCTCTCTCTCTCTCTCTCTCCACCCCCTCCCTCCCTCGTTCCCTCACATCCGATCTTACAATCTGTCGTCTCACCGCCGCCGTCAGATGTGAGCTATTTTGGCGGCATGCCAGTGACGTCACCGCCCCCAATGACGTCACGCAGTAGCCGGACGCTCGCTATGAATGGCGTCCTTGACTCGCTACCCAGTCATCTTTCGTCTGCGGATAATGGTGGGAGCTGGGAAGGCCAACCACAGCCGTGGTCAAGATGGAGGATAATATTGGAATTCGCCCCGTGGCGTAGATATCCGTAGATATTGGCCGTAGATTTAGACGTAGGTACCTATTTGTGTAAATGAGAGTCATGGTTTGACTTTATGGGTGATTGATGACTTATTTGGCGTCCTTGGAAACCCTTGATGTGCTTCTGTTTACACATTTAGAAACTTTACACATTTACACATTTAGAAACTTAAAAAGTTTGACAAAGCCGAACGCTTTTGTACGACTTTACTTTTTCATAATGTTTGCCAAAGTCGAGGGGACAAAATCATTCAGTTGACGTGCATCTTAGCTTAAATCAACGATTCCTGCCTTTCTAGGTACAGTGGAGGGATGGTGTAGGTACCTACTCAATGTCGTATATTTCTAGTTTCTACACCAGCACTATGCGTTCAGAGAACGCTACACCGTACCTCAGGCACCACTGCCCCCAGCTAAACTTTATCGCGGTGCAGTGAGATGCGATCTGTGCCTGGCCTCCGGCGGTCACTGACCTCGGCATTCCGTCAATGGCGGGTGCAGAAGGGAGGTTTTGAAGCGCGTAATTCCAGAAGGAAAGAAAACACGTTTTCTCACGAGGAGACAGGCTATTTTTTACGTTTTCAAATATTTTAATTTAGCTTGTCATTTTAGCAACAGGTAGCTATCCTATGCACTTTTAATCTCACAATAGGTATATTAAACAAGCAGCTGTGATGGTCAGTCCTGCCAACATCATCGCCTGGATCCGCCCGTGCCGTATATCCAGAGCTACACCCTCTGCTTATAATTAGTATTAGATTACTGCAGACAGTAGAGATCGTATCTTTAATGCCATGGTAGTGCAAGGTGGTTGGTGTGGATAGGGCTCTGGAGTTCACAGCCATCCTAAAATTCTTAGCCACCATCGCAAGTTCGTTCTCAAGAGCATCAGGAAGACCCATGGCTAGTCTGTTTTGAATATGTCTAAAACTCGCCTCAGTACTTCTTTTGCTATATTTTTTTGCGGCGCATAAAGTATCATTGCTCACATCAAAACAGTTGACAGTGTAAATTGTAGAACCTTCATACTTTAAATTCAATTCCTCTCAGCTCCATATTCTTAGAAACTAGCACCCGCTACAATGAACTAAGGAATGTTTAGCATGGACTGTAGACATGCAGTTGCTAATAATTTTATCACGCGACACTCTTCCTGTCATCCGTTTGATCGTTATCCGACATGATCTTCGCACGGTACTGTACGAAGTTGTCGAGAATTCAACAACAATGTAAACAAGGCACCAGCTGCCAGGCTATTTATATTTTTATCATGGGACAGAAACTACGGAGACAAAATAAATTTAAGATTACCTACAAAATTTTATCTATTTTATATTTATCACGAATTATGTAACAATGACTTCCACGAAAGATTAGTTTCGTGGGCAACTCTGCACGACTATCAGCCATCAACGTCATGGCTGGTAGTCGTGCTTAAAAGATTTTCTGCACAGTTGTTCAGAAAAATTCGTTCGTTGAATTCATGTGTAATGCTATTAGTGGGTCTTGTAAAACTGAGGTTTACGGTAAAATACTGTGGATTGCAGGTGCGAGGCGTGACTACTGACCTTGGAATATTTGTGACGTCAATGACTGAGCAGTTTGTAATCCTGATTTACCTTTGTTAGTGATGCACAAGGAACACACAAAGCGAAACCTAACGAAAGTTTTTCATAATCATAACTACATACGGAGCATAATGTGTTGGGAAGTCAAAGCAGTGCTTATGTGAAAAGTGCCCCGCTGCATTTACCTGAAACTAAGCTGAAACTAGACCTGAAACCTTACCTGAAACTACCTGAAACTAGAAATGTTGAGCAGAAAGGAACCCTTGCCTATCACAGTTAATGCCTCATACCCATAAACATCTGCGCCTTTACCTCAACATCCATTTATTTCATGTCAGGGTCCGATCAGTTACTGCAGATATCATCATTTCCGGGACGGTCGTTTTCATATGGATATTTTACCTACCCATCAAACTACACCCGGCACAATATATTTGGATAGCAACAGTCGCACAAACATGGAGGTTTTCTGTCTACCCCCCGTCATGTTCCGCATTTCAATGCTCTGACGTTTTCAATATTTGTAAACTGCTGTCTGACGAAACTGTATTATTTGAGTCGTGCCGCTCCGCGCTTCGTCGAAACCGAAGTTCCGGTTTCCAATGTATTTACATGTACAATGCGAGTATACCATAGCTGTTCTCAGTATTACAGATCCTGATGGTAATTGTGCACAGTGGCGGATCCAGGATTTTCACTGGGGAGGGGCTGCAGGTCATAATTGGGCGCCACGCCCCGGATGGGCGCCATAGTCGCATCGTATTGGCGCTGAAATATTGGCGCCCAGTGGCCCTGACAAGAGGCGCCCAGGATCAGTATGTACAGTGACACCACACGATTGGAAATATCGGTGCGGAGCGTACTGAAACGACGTTATTCGACTGATTTTTGCATCCTAGTCCTAGTATGCGGCACTCCGATGAGTTGCGAATTGAAAACTGGCGCCACTGCGCCGAAGGCGCAGTGGCGCCAGTTTTCCTTGGGTGGGGGCTGCCAGCCCCCGCAGCCCCCCCCCCCTGGATCCGCCACTGATTGTGCATGGAATCGGAACTGCATTTCGTCATTTAGATCCAGTAGATCCACCCATTTTGAAGGTTTTATGAGCACATGATGTTGCTCGCATACACATTACACATGTGTGGTCATTACACATGTGTGACAGAGGCGGTGGCATAACAAACATGGCTTTTGACAAACCCCTCTTTGTGTACCCTAACTTTTTTACGGATCACGAATTTTTATGCACACATACTTGCACATGACTCGAGATGCTCGAATCAAACAGGTGTGCACGAAGAACGCGCGCATCAGCGTGTGCAAGCAGACACTGTTCTTGTCGTCTTAAACCATTGATGAGCGTACAGAATGCATACCTGAATGATGCCGAGCGTGCAAGAGTGTGTTTTTATCTTTGTTTTGAGGTCACAGTGCTTCCTCTCTCGAGACTTTTCTCATCCCAGTGTTTTTCCCTTTTACTGGATTTTTGCATACTTGTCTTGTCTATGCGTATTGCTTTGGAAAAAATTAATGTTCATCAAGCTCATTGTTGTCTCCTTCCATCATTCATATCCAGTGCGCCTTCACTATCCGCTGTGCTCCTGTTGCCAATTTTTAAAGTCTATGACATGTGACGTCACCTGTTCTGTCTGTGTTCCAGTGTGTACCCAGCGGCCCATACGGGGCAACTCACCGCCGACACATATATTAAAGTCCATGACATGTGACGTCACCTATTTTGTCTGTGTTTCAGTGTGTACCCAGCGGCCCATACGGGGCAACTCACCGCCAACACATATATTAAAGTCCCTGATGTATGACGTCACCTGTTCTGTCTGTGTTCCAGTGTGTACCCAGCGGCCCATACGGGGCAACTCACCGCCAACACATATGTTAAAGTCCCTGACATGTGACGTCACCTGTTCTGTCTGTGTTCCAGTGTGTACCCAGCGGCCCATACGGGGCAACTCACCGCCGACACATATGTTAAAGTCCCTGATGTGTGACGTCACCTGTTCTGTCTGTGTTTCAGTGTGTACCCAGCGGCCCATACGGGGCAACTCACCTCCAACACTATGGATGGAGCGAAACTGGAAGGTGCCAGCCGATGAAAGGGTGAGTACTGAGTAGGACTTCGCTGCTCAGCGGTATTTGTTTTGTTGTATCTTTGTTTCGGAATAGCTCATTGTTTGTTTATTGGGAGTTCAGGGTACGTTTATTGGGAGTTGGGAGTGATGAACACAAAGAGACCAGTCCAGTTCCTCTCTTCTTTGTCTTGCGATGCTTGTCGCTCTGTATCTATAAACTTGTGTATACAATTTGTGCCCCGTGACACATGCGCTCGCATTAGAAAACCAAAACTCCACATGTCGACTGGCACGTAACATGTCAGCAGCGTCCACCGCTCAGTGCAGTTTCTATGTCACAGCGCACCGTTTTTACAGTAAACAGTCCAGTGTGCAGTTTGTAAACAGAGCCTACAGCCGAGCCGCTGTGGGTTCAGATTTCAGACGGCCCCTATCGGCCATGCGCTACGCAGTGGGCGAGTGTTGGCGGCGGTGGTGAACTGAAGTTAGTGGTGGAATTGATCCAGGCAAGTACCTACTGCGGGATCGAGCCTGAAGAGAGAGCGGTCGGCACTGATGGAACTATTGTGATACTGAGGCGTTTGGCAGCAATCAGTCTGAAGCAAAAGCCAAAGCAGCTGGTCTGAGTGCCTAAAGATCATTGTTGTTATCTTGGAGAACCAGTGACGTCATCAGCAGTTGTGATCCACCAGTGACGTCATCACTTAACTTTCACACCGCCTCTCTGAAGACCCTGCCGCTGCGTCTGCAGCTACCCACCGTGCACAATGCAGCCGCATCGTCTGTCGCTACTTCTACCTCTACTGCTGGATGTGGTAGCTGTGCACCCAACTCTGTCCCGCTACGAACCCACGTGGGAGTCCCTGGACTCGCGTCCCCTACCCAGCTGGTATGATGAAGCTAAAGTGGGAATCTTCCTCCATTGGGGAGTGTTCTCTGTTCCCGCATTCGGCGGGGCCTGGTTCTGGAACTTCTGGCGTCAAGACAAGAAGCCAGAGTACGTGGAGTTTATGAGGAAGAACTACCGCAAGGGGTTCACCTATGCGGACTTTGCGCCGCACTTCCGAGCGGAGATGTTTGATCCAGAGCACTGGGCGGAGATCTTCCAAAAGTCCGGAGCCAGGTATGTGGTGCTGACGGCCAAACATCACGAGGGGTTCACTCTCTGGCCGAGCAAGCGGTCGTGGAACTGGAATGCCATGGATGTCGGTCCAAAGCGGGATCTCGTGGGCGATCTGGCGAAGGCCATTAGGAAGAGCACAGACATGCGGTTCGGGGTGTATCACTCCTTGTACGAGTGGTTCAACCCGCTGTATCGGAACGACCGAGCCGCCAATCGGAGTGACTTTGTCACCGGCAAGACGATCCCGGAACTCCACGAGTTAGTGGAGGCGTATCATCCGGACGTGATCTGGTCGGACGGAGACTGGGACGACAAGCCTGAATACTGGACCTCCAAAGAGTTCCTGGCGTGGCTCTACAACGACTCGCCGGTGCGGGAGACAGTGGTCACCAACGACCGCTGGGGGAAGGGGACCACCTGCCGCCACGGTGGCTTCCTCACCTGTAGCGATCGCTTCAACCCGGGGCGACTCGTCTCGCGCAAGTGGGAGAACGCCTTCACCCTGGATCGCAACAAGTGGGCGTATCGTCGTCAGATGCAGCTTAAGGACATCCTAAGCATCGAAGAACTCCTCGCAGAGTTGGTCTCAACGGTCAGCTGTGGAGGTAACGCGCTCATCAACATCGGCCCAACTGCGGACGGACGCATCATTCCAACATTCGAAGAGCGCTTGACTCAGCTGGGCGAGTGGCTGAGCATCAACGGAGAAGCGGTCTATGAGTCACGACCGTGGAAGGCTCAGAACGACTCTCTCCGAGGTGACGTTTGGTACACTCAGCGTCAGGAGGACGTGTTCGCGATCACACTCTCTTGGCCGGAGAATGGGAGTCTCATGCTAGGCTCAGCGCCGAAGGAAGCGACTAGCTGTGAACTGCTTGGGTATGGCGCAGTGAAATGCGCCGAGGGCCGTGTTGAATTTCCTGGTCTGGTACAGGTCCGCGGTCGCTGGGCATGGGTGGTGAGGTTCGCTGGCGTGAAAAAGGCCGGTAAAGGGGTGACGGAGAAGATCGGCGAAGTCCTGCCAAACATCGGTAACGAGTTACTCTGAAATGACAACAAGGAGGGTCTATGAAGGTTATTAACGTTATTTTAGACGCGTAAAGCGAAGGTGATACTACTTGGGGAAAGGTATGGGAGAATATTCTTTAATATGTGGGCACCGAGGGAGAAAGCCGAAGAAGTTCGGTGTGTGTTACGTCATCGAATATGTATTGAATATCATAACTGTGTTACCATTGTTTTCCGCAGCAGCATAATCTATGACGCTGAAACTAGCTGTATGTATGCCTACCGATAAAACATGTGAATAAACACATATTACTGAGTAGGTAATGGTTTGTTTGAAAAAAAATGTATGAACTTACTATGCCCATAGTTCACTATTTTATCATTGTCTATCGAATTCCAGAATGCATGAAGAAATCAAAAGGTGTTGTCCAGCATCTAGCATCACAGTTACCCAAGGCAATCCCAAGGCCATCTGTTATACACATGTCGTATAATATCTAAACAAAAGTACATCCATGTCTTGTTCGCTGCAACAAAACCCATTGCAAATCAACAGTACCTTCAATAAAAAGGAAACATCGCACTGTTTTCACGATCACCACCGGAAGCAGCATTATATATCAATTTGATCTGACCAGCAGCGCCGAATAAAAGATCTCGTTATAATCGTATGAAGACCTGTCATGATTTTAATATGTACTTAGCCACAGATACCCGTGAAACATTGTGAGATCTTGATAAAATCCTGCAACGGTTCTCAGCGCCATCTAGTGACGACCTCTCCAACTCTATGTTTCAGATTAACTCGCTCATTGTCCGAGCCACGGCCAAGGACAAAGACAACGACACAGTTACATTTGGCATACGGGCCTCCGAATACCAGGACGGTTCACACCTGTTCTACATCAACAACCGGACGGGCGTCGTCTACCTGGCAGCCAACCTCAGTGACAAGGTACAGTCCACAGCAGAAGTAATGTGTGGTTTCAGTCATGGGTATGTTCTGCTTCTGAAGCTTAGGAACGATTAGCCAGACTACAATGAAACTTCGAATGTAGCTTATATGTATCGTCACCCTTGCAGCTGCAACTTTAGCTATTGACATCTTCTTTTCGATCACTCCGCATTAAACAATCGCCAGTCAAAGCCAACCGTTGAGATTGGTAAAACCCTACATTACTTTAGCGGTGGGCTGTACGTAGAGATGGAGATCCCGGGTCTTAGTGAGTTTCCACTCCCCGACTTGATATGTCCTCGAGACACCTAACAACCAGCATTTCCACGTTTTGCTAGTCATTTGATCCGTGGGAGTTTATCTACCACCTGAATAGACCCTAGCGCGACTAGATGTAGTTGTAGTAGACAGTGCTGAGAGTCCTAAGTGTCCAGCTGCGTTTCCGACACATCCTCTTGTTAGGTAGACGGTCAGTACCTACTGCCTCTACTTGTCATCGGACGTGCGGCAACAACTTCAACACCGTGACTTCACACTGTAGACTCTAGAGTCTAGAGCCACTTGATTGTGCATATAGCCTGTAGAAGCCTGAGTGTCTGATTTCCAACATCTTCTCCCCTCAGGTGGACAACCAGTACTACCTCTACGTCACAGCGTCCGACAGCCACGGCGCTCAGGTCTCCAACGAGGTCTGGGTGGAGATCCTTCCCCCAGCCGGAGATAGAGACGAGTTCGAGCCTCTACCCACGAGGAACACGCGGCCCCAGCTGCCGCCCAACCTCAACCAGCCGCGGCCCGGGGGTGGCGTCATACCCGTCCTGCCACCAGAGTTCGCCAGGTGAGGGGACTGAATGGGCTGAGGAAATACTGTGGAGCGGGGGGCGGGGTCATACCTGTACTGCCACCAGGTGAGGGGGCTGAATGGGCTGAGGAAATACTGTGGAGCGGGGGGCGGGGTCATACCCGTACTGCCACCAGAGTTCGCCAGGTGAGGGGCTGAATGGGCTGAGGAAATGCTGTGGAGCCGTGGTAGGCGGGTGGATTTAGTCAGCGTAACTGCAATGGATGGAGAAATAGCCACTGAAGAGTGAAGAGGACTAGCCCCAGATAAGCAAAAGCGTGGATTTGGTGTCGATGCATCAACAAGAAAAACACATATACCTATTATTAAAGCAAATAACCAAGGAGTCCGTCTTCACTTATAAATAATATTTTACGCCTTTAGTTAGAATACGTGTAACCATTGACATAGAACCTTGCCTTTGCACACCGTACTTACCTGAATTCTGATTGGTGGATTGTGTGACCTTGAATTCTGTAGCTGAATTCTGATTGGTGGATTTTGTGACCTTGACAGGCCGCCACCGAGGGAGCCGCCAATCAGAACCACGGAGCAGCTGCAGGTCACCACCGGTAAGTAGCAAGTACAACGGGGGTGTCGGCGGTTATTCATTGCTCTAGATATATCTCACTTTATGATAAAACCAATTCACTTTTTCTTAGTCAATAGATTCAAATAAGTCAATAGTTTCAAATTACACCATACCATCGGCTGCCTTCAGCCAAGAGCACATACCTACTGTTCAGTTGATGGACCAGGTGCAATGATGATATTTCAGATTGACTTGTATAGGTTTGGAACCTAAATGGTTCGTGTTCGTTCACTGAGGCACAATGTATTGATTAGCGATTTAGCTGAGAAAGCAATCATTAGATCTGTCTCGCTTTGCCAATTGTTATAGTCTAGTGCAGTGCGGATCTTTCCACTCTGTCATTCTACCATTGTTCGAACTATAATATCAACCTCGCCATTTCACGCCTGCAGAGACCACGGCAGCGCCCACCGCGACTGCAGCGCCTCCAGCGGCGACCGAGGACACCAGCGACTCGGCGTTTGACGTCACGCCGCTGGTGGTGACACTGGTGGTGCTGTTGGTGCTGGTGCCGACCGTGGTGTACGGCTTCCACTTCTTCAGGAAGCGGCGCCAACAGGCCAAGAACAGGAGTCTCAAGGCCGGAAACGTAAGTATGAGGGGTGTTAGCTTGACGTGGAATAAGTATTGACTGACAGTGAGCAGACATTTCACAGTTATGCTTATTCATTTTCGCAAGGCTTTGTAGCATCCCAATTGCCGACCTCCCGTCGCTCGTTCCACTTCCATGTAACGTAACGTCACCACTCAACATTTCATTTCTATGATAACGCCACCTGTCGTCGTTCCAGTACAACTTCGCCTCCGATTGCTGTACATTTATCATAACGCCACCTCCCGACGTTCCCTTTTAATGATATCCCCGTCGTAACTTCTCTATTAGAACGCCACCTCCAATCGTTCCATTATAACGCCACCTCCCATCGTTCCATTATGACGCCACCTCCCATCGTTCCATTATAACGCCACCTCCCGTCGTTCCATTATAACGCCACCCCCCATCGTTCCATTTCCATTATAATGCCACGCCACCCTGTCGTTTTCAGTTCTCGATCGAGTTCCAGCGCCGTTCGGGCCTCTCTCAGACGTCTGATAAGGCACTGGACGAGCCCAGCAGCACCTGGAGACACTTTGACTCCAAAGGAATCGACGCCACTAAATGGGTACGTAATCGTAACTTTGACTCCAAAGGAATCGACGCCACTAAATGGGTACGTACTACGTAAAGGTCACTTTGACTCCGAGGGAATCGACGTCACCAAATGGGTACGTAACGGTAACTTTTACTCAAATTAATCGACGTCACTAAACGGTTACGTAACGGTCACTTTGACTCAAAAATGAATCATTCCCACTAAATGGGCACGTAACGGTCTCTTTGACTCACCTAAGGTAACCTGACGGAAACTTTGACCCATAGATATTGATGTCGCTTAGTGAGTAACATAATGACACTTCAGCACGACTATACCTAAAAAAGACACTTACTCGCTTCTTACAAATTGTCATGCATTTTCTGACTAGTGTTTATAGTGACCTAAAGACATAAAGAAACAATGCTTGCATTTTCAGTCTTTTTGGGATCGCTGCCTCACTGTGTCCGTTCTCGTCTATCTAACGATCACCCCTAACCGCACCTTGGGCCCTCCATTCCCACAGAATCTGGGCCACACGAACCTCTCGTTCGTATCGACCACCTCTGCGTCCGGAGATAGCGGCCCAGACAAGAAGTGGGAATTCCCGCGCCATCACCTGCGCATTCTACACCAGCTGGGCGAGGGTTGCTTCGGCCAGGTGTGGAAGGTCGAGGCCCTGGATATGACTGGTGAGTTTTGTCAGGGTTTTCTGCGGGTTTGGAGGGGCGGGTTGGTGGGGCGATTTTGTAGGGATGAGGTTTGTTGGGATGGTGATTGGAGGGACAGGGTTTGGAGGGATGAGGTTTGGAGGAACAGGGTTTAGAGGGGTGGGGTTTATTTGGATGGGGGTTCGGTTGGATAGGGATCGGAGAAACGGGATTTGGAGGGACGTTGTTTGATGGCATGGGTTTATAAGGACTGCATTGGTGAGATGATTTTGTAGGGGCGGGTTTAAATGGATTTGGTTTGGAGGGACGGGTGAGGGACGTTTTCTAGAGAACCGGGTTTAGTGTTACGTACCTCAGTAGGACGAGGTTAATGTAGTGGTATTCTCCTTCCATGTTCCCAAAAGAACTATAAACATGAGCTCTAGGAGCTCTGGCCTCTTCCCCGTACGTGACCGTCCCTCCATCGCCGTCTACATCACGTCTCGTCTATCGTCACGTGAGTTCTCACTTCTCTTCACCACCATTTCCACCACGTTCAGAAGTGGGGGCTAAGAGATAAACACCAACGCAAGCTCCCTTCAATATCCTGAAAAGAACCGCAAGCAGCGGGTGAAAACCGCTGATCGCTGTCTTTCTGTATGTCAACTCCCTTCACTACTGGCGGACCCAGCCCAGAGTTTTTTTTTTGGGGGGGGGGGAGCAAACCATAGCAATTAATTGGTTCTTTCCATGCACCGCCCTAAGTGTAATGTTGAATTTATGCCGTTTGGGAGGGGCAATTGTCCTATTTCCCTCCTCTGGATCTGCCACTGCCCTTCACCAGGCACCGTCTCCATCACATTCAGGAGTGGAGGGCTAGGGGGTAAAAGACCAACGCATGGTTCCTTCAATATCATGAACAGAACCGCAAACAGTGGGTAAAAACCGCTGATCGTTGACTATGTCAAATCCCTTCACCACCTTCTTCATCACGTTCAGGCGTGGAGGGCGTCAGCACTGTGGCGGTGAAGACGCTGAAGGAGGCGGCTGGTGAGAAGGAGCGCCGGGACCTGCTGCAGGAGATGGAGATGATGAAGCTGCTCGACCCGCACCCCAACGTCGTCACCATGCTCGGCTGCTGCACCGAAAAAGGTACGGGGAAGGTGTTGGCGGAATGTGTCCCGAATAATGTGATTGGGATGTGTGATATTGCACAGAAAAGGCTTCACTAAAGGGTTTGGTGTCATCAAGTGTGCGCCACTTCATCGGAAAAGGTACGGAGATATGCGGATAATGTGATGGCGATGGTATGTCCTGCTGCACCGAAAAAGGTACGGGGACAATGTCACTGGGTACGAGGACGAGCTACGAGGATAATGTGATTGGATAATGTGTGATACTGCACAGAAAACGGTGCAGAGAATGGTGTGGTGTGCGATGCGATAAGAATGTGTGCTGTTGCGCCGAAAAAGATATTCGGTTACTCGATCATGCTATGCTAAGGTTCCTTATTATACCTACTCTTGGTTTCGTCCCTTGACAATTAAACAGGAATAGGTAGGTATCTATGGTTCTGAGCGTGTCAGATACATGCTAACTCAGTCATCTTTGAAACAATGCCTTTTTAATTATTGCATTTAAGCTGTTTTATCGATGGCACTGAACACTTTTTTAAATGATATTGTAATGGCCGTTCCATTTGCAATGATACGCTCTATCGTTCGCCATTACCTACTCGCCCATCCTCCCTTCAAGATGAAACCAAGACGTTGACAACTTTCTCTCTCATTTTTTTTTTCATTCTCTTTCTGCCAGACCCCATTTTCCTGATTATGGAGTACGTCAGCCGCGGCAAGCTACAGACCTACCTGCGCGAGTCACGGACGCCCAATGACTACAACAATCTGCACGGGCCGTCTGCAATGCTGACGTCACGGGATCTGACCACATTCGCTCACCAGGTGGCGCGCGGAATGCACTATCTGACTGAGAAGGGGGTGAGTGAACCGTGGAGAGAGAGAGAGAGAGAGAGAGAGAGAGAGAGAGAGAGAGAGAGAGAGAGAGAGAGAGAGAGAGAGGGGGGGGGAGGGAGAGAGAGGGGGCAGGTAAGGGTCGAACTCACGGTATTTGATAGTCGTCAAGAGGCGGTCAATGTAACGAGGGAGGGCAGGGGGTTAAAAGGGACGTGCTTAATTATAAATAAGTAATGAGTTTCTTTTAAAGGGACTAGGTCACCACCTTTAGGGCACACTAAATCGCTTGCACCACCTATCTCGTGTTTTAATATGGAGAATGTAGATCGTAGCTAGCTAACTCATCTTCCCTCGCTTTCTGACACGCAATGTGAAAACCCATGATAACGAATACTGGTCTTGTTTTGCTCATTCCTAACAAATGACGTCACTGGTTTTATTTCGCCGCCAGATCATCCACCGTGATTTAGCCGCCCGTAACGTACTGGTTTCCGAGGAAAGGGTCTGCAAGGTGGCAGACTTCGGCTTCGCACGGGACATCATCGCCAGTCATGTGTACGAGAGGAAAACAGAGGGCCGCCTACCCATCAGGTGAGCAGAGACATCTATCGGGAGGATCGGTTACTACGCGGTTACACTGGATGTCTACGTGGTTATAATGGTAGCGAAACTACGCGCTTGTGTGGTTACTGGTTGTACTACATAACTGATTTAGGGTGATTACAGCACACGCGCACTGTGGTAGGTAGGTACTGTGCTGTGACGGGATGCATGGATTTACCGACTTATGTTCTATAATAAGTTCTCTGCGATTGGTGTCTGACGTCTGTTGGATTTTATTTGATCACTCATATCGAGAACAGTCAAGGTCTACTTAAGGCTCCAATGTGACCTTTCCCGGTTTTCTGTCCACTTATAAATTCACCGTATCCCTAATGACGTCACTATGCGTCCCACAGGTGGATGGCTCCGGAGAGTCTGTACGACAACATCTTCACGGCCAAGAGTGACGTGTGGAGCTTCGGCATCCTGTTGTGGGAGATCGTCACACTAGGTGAGGATCTGCTTGCTACCCTTATAGTGGTCACGTTATATGCTAGCATAATTGTTCGTAAAGACACACAACCTTCAGTTTTCTTTTGTCAGCAATCATATCGGACTCCTGCTATTAAGGCTAGTCATACGAGGTGAAGATCTGCTGGGGCCTTCGACCATGATTTGACACCGAGAACTTGACACCCAACGTCTTCTTCTATTGTAGCAGATGTATTTATAGCACTTGCTGAGTACCTGCAAGGTCTGTAGCTATAAGACCACCTCTGATAAAACCCGCCATCGTTGGCATCCTACTGTGGTGAAGACTTGCACATCAGGCAAGCACTGTTTAGGTTATCACCCTCGGTGGGGAGTTGACACATTCGACACCCACCCAGTTGTGGGGACTGTTAGCACTAGGTGGGAACCTTTGGCTCAGGCTTAGCAGCACTTTTAGAAAGGGACTGGCACTGTCGGTATCCTTTCATCCTCCTGTAGGACATTGGCATCAAAGTGAGAGCGATGCACCTGCATATAGCCTGATAGAGAGACGAGGCCCAAGACAGCATCAGAACTGGTCAGATTGCTTGACTAGAACTTCGTTCATCCAGAGGTAACATTGCTCCCGGGTTTTACATATGATACGACCTCCCCTAAGCTAAAAATAGGTTCCTTACTTGTCTGTGACAGTGCCCTCCTATAGTCCGTTAATACGACTTTCCTTTTAGGTGACCTCCCCTTCGGCGTACAAGTGGACTCGCCCGTGACCTGACCTCTGGCTCTGCCCCCAGGCTCGACCCCGTACCCGGGCATGTCCGCTCAGGAGGTGATGAAGAAGGTTCGAGAAGGATATCGCCTGGACAAGCCGGAGCACTGCCGGAGGGAGCTCTTCAACCTGATGGTGAGGACTGGAGTCGGGCCTCCATATGGGCTAGGCTAGTGCTAGTAACGTAACCTAAGACGGGGACGAAGGTGATGCTGCAGCCATTTGCGGTAGGACTAAGAATGATGAATGATCCAACAATCGTAGAGGCATGGGATGGGACAGCGTGGCGACAAAGTCGGGCAACCCATTTGTTCCAGCCTTTTGTGTCTGCTGTTTAAGATCGGGTTAACAGGGAAAAGGATTGTCCCTTTTGTCAGAACGTCAAGCATGTTGCTACGAAACTTGCATTGCACTACCAATGACTTTATGGTTGTGTTTCGCCCCGAAAAATAATAACCCGCAAGCCTGTCCCTTATCCTCCTCCTATCCCGTCGGCGTTGGCGTGATGTTGCATTCATCTCTGACTCAGTGCTGAGTCTGGTGTATCATTCTCTGGTAGTTATCTTGATCGACGCGGGACCATTGTTTGTGCCTCAGTGCTAACTAGTGATGTCAATTACAGAAAATCGGAATACCGATACCAAACCAAATACCAACCAAAACCATCAGGAAATACCGAAACCGAACCAACTTTGAAAGATGAGGGAAATACCAACTTTTTACCAATTTCTTAGCCTCCTAGTAAGGGTTCATAATACCAACAAAATACCAAACACATTAGGATTGAAATACCAAATACCAAGTTGCTATCGGTTTGGTATTGGTGTACGGGGACCCGCAGTTGCTACTGTACACGAACCCCAAGTCTAACCGTCTGTCCTGTCCAGTAACAACCGATAACATTGATATCGACTGCTGGTTCCTGTACAAGAGCAGCTGAGGTTTCCTGTGAGTGCCCTCTGACAGCTTATCGTTGTTCCCTGTGAGGGTGCTGGGACAATTTACTCAGGGTCGCTGTACAGTAGCAACTGCGGGTCCCTGTACCAAAAAGTTGGTATCCGATTGACATCTCTAATGCTGACACTTGCTTTATCCGCGCAGTACTACTGCTGGTCCGCATCTCCGGACGCCCGGCCAGGCTTTGGTGAGATCGTGGAGACGCTGGAGAAGCTGCTACTCACGGAGATGGACTACATCGAGCTGGACCGCTTCCCGGAGCACTCCTACTACAACCTCACCGGCAACCTCAGTGGCGAAAAGGTGTAGAAGACGTCAGCTTCGTGGTGACGAAGTCTCTATGATGTCAGCTGTGCCGTAGAGACAGGGACTCGTGTGGTGTGAGCTGGCATAGTGGACTCTCCCAAAGCTGGAGTTGTGAGGTATGATTCCCTTTGGCAGTGAATGGTGTGAGCTACGTCGATGGGACAGTGGACTCGTCCAAAGTTGAAGTTGTGGCCTCTCCTTTACGGGGAATGGATCCGTCCGAAGTTTGTGTGTGACCCGCAGCTCTTCAATGAGAGTGGACTCGTCGTAGATCCGTCCAAAGTTGAGTGTGAGATGTGACCTCCCCCTGACGGGGAATGGACTCGTCCGTACGTGACCGGTCAGTGAGCCGTTCCCGGCTGTGATTGGTCGAGGTCTGCTCTGCAGTGACGGAATAACGTGATTGGTGGAGTGAGGGGTTGAACTAAGCGCTCGGAGTGGATATTTTTGAACACGGGTGCTGGAAGCTGAGTTTAACGTCAGCCCCCGGGAAACTCGAAAGAATCCCCTCACGAGTGAAAAGTCCGCGATTTGCTAACCGCTTGACGAAGCTGGTGTGACGTCTATGGTTGAATGAGATAAAGAATGGCGACTAAGGTGTTGTTCTGATGTTTATTTTGATAATATGCAAGTGCTGTGCAATAGATTGACACTCACAGTCAATGTTATGTCGGATGTTCGTATTTGAGATTTTCTCGTTTTGCACAATGTGCGTATGTAATGTGTGTGAAAGATTTTTGCGAGTCTCTATCCTAGTGTTTATTACGCCTGTTTGTAATTTTATTTTCAGCGTCAATGCGATAGAAGACTGAGTGACAAGGCGTGTTTTGATGTGTAATATAGACATGAGTGTATGCTACAGAACACATCTCATGTGCTCATAAGCAGACCCACAGAGGCCTTAACGCTTGGACTGTCATTCGATGCGGATATTACAAGGTTTGGGCCGCACAGTGGGCTGGCCGCTGATAAAAACTGGTGAACTGATGTTGATGCACTGATGTTTTATGATGATTGCCGAGGTTCGCTTTGTTCAAAATAGCTTCCGATTCATTCAACTAAAGGCGATTTTCTGGTAATAAGTTTCAAATACTGTATTATATAAACCTATCAATGGGATATATAAATTCACAATATTCTCGTCCTTACAGGCTCTTGGTCTAAAAGAATACGTGTTATGTTGAATTAAATGTTTTGTCACAATTTTAGGGGCTTATCATGTTGTGGTATAGTGCTTCTGTTGTGCTGAACGTTTGAATGCATTTGTCCAACGAACAGGAGTTTAATATACGGGGATGACCGTCACCAGTGTTTATTTAAGTCCCAATGGCACACAAATAACAGACATATTTATATGAGCGAAGCTATGTCAGGTATTGAGCAGTTCGGTATCTCAGAGAGAGATCGACGTGGACCACCAGCCACCACGTACAAATTCGTATCGGTCCCTAGAGCGGTTCAATGGCGCCTTTCTCATGCAACACATTAAACTGACCATCACATAAATAAGATTTAACTTCTAAAAACATGAAAGTAACATGTGTGGAGTGTGAATGAAATTGGATGGCAAAAATGGTTAACTTAATTTGATCCAAAGTCATCAGTTAAAAACTGCTTCCGACAAGCTATGGACAACAGGAAACGCAGGCGATTATAAAAATACACCGATGTCGGATTTAAATGCACACTTAACAAAGGCGATTATAAATATAAGCCGACACCTGAGATTATCCCCGAGTCGTGTTTCCATTGACAGCACCTTATTACCAATCCAACATTAAAGCTGCTGGCTGATGACGCATTTATCTTTCAGTTAAAAACGTCACAAATATTATCTTACAATATAAAATACATATCTTATAGAAACTGGACGGATGCATTTGTCACAACCTTTCAAAAAATGTCATAAGACCTCCGTAACGGCAAAAGAGGTAATATACCCACCACTTCACTAAACATTTCCGTCACCTACCTCGGAACATATCACCAACTATGACGATCGCGCAACATTCGATCATCTGCTTTGGCTCGTAAGGCTCGGTTCATCGCTCCTCATTTAATTTTGTCGGGCCAGAAGAATACGTGTTGGTGCATCTTCACTTTGGCCTGTCTGACATCACCACTTTGGTCCGTCTGACCGTCTTCACTTTGGTCCGTCTGACATCACCACTTTGGTCCGTCTAACATCTTCACTTTGGTCCGTCTGACATCTTCACTTTGGTCCGTCTGACGTCTTCACTTTGGTCCGTCTGACATCTTCACCCTGGTTCGTCTGCCATGTTCACTTTAGCCCGTCCGACAAGGCCGTTGAACGTTCACTTTAAGTGAGTACTGAGTAGGAGGATGTCATTGGGCGTACTCATCTGACAATCAATTCAGTGAGTGAGCCATAAGCCTTTGTTGTATTGCGGCGGAACGCATAATGCTCAATTTGAACGACCAGTCTGTGGCTAACACATTGTTTTGGCGACACACCGAGGCATTGATGCCTCGTGTTCACCTAGCTCTGAGTACCGTGGGCGGTAGCAGAGTGCCGTAGCAGAAGTTTCGCTCTGCCAAAGGACATGCCACAGACGTCACATCGGAACCTCTTCTCCTTCCTGCGCGTGCGTTGGTGGTGAGCAATGTCCCGCCTCGTTCTAAACACCCTTCCACAGTCGCCACACTTGAGGGAAACGGGTGTCAGCGACTTGCCCGCACACTGATGATCTTTAATATTGGTAAATACCTCCCCGCATTTCGCGCAGCGAGCTCCCGTTTCACTCTCGTTGCAGTGATGACGAGTCAGCTGAGACTGCCTGGAGAACACTATCCCACATTGTCCACACTTGTATGGGTTGTTCTCACCGTGTACTCGTCGCCGATGGCGTGTCAGATGACCCCTTCTTGAGAACGGAATGCCACAATCGTCACACTTGCAGGGCTTCTCCCCAGTGTGTGTGCGCAGGTGGAACGTAAGCGCGCTCTTGTCTGCAAACGCCTTGCCGCAGGCGTCACACTTGTGCGGCTTTTCGCCTGTATGTAGGCGACAATGAATACGTAGTGCGCTGCGCTTCGTAAACGCTTTATCGCAGACGTCGCACTTGTGCAGGTTTACGCCAGCGTGCAGATAGCGATGTCGACGAAACGCGCTGCTATCTGCAAACGCCTTCCCGCAGACGTCACACACGAACGGACGTTCCCCGGTGTGTGTGCAGAGGTGGCAAGCAAGCCTGTCCTTACGAAGGAACACGATGCCACACACGCCGCACCTGAACGACTTTCTGCCGACGCGAAGTCGGCGGTGCTCGGTGCGCTCAGCCAGAGTCGAAAACGCCACACCGCAGAAGTCACACGGTTCGGGTTTCAGATCACTGTGACTCTGGAGGTGCTTCACGAGGCACGCTGCCCGCGAGAAGTTCTCACCGCAATGATCACACGTGTGCGGCTTCTGCTTGGTGTGAACCAGCTGGTGACGTTTCAGAAAGCATTCCTGCTCAAAGAGCTGGCCACATTCTTCACAAGCGTAGGATTTCTCCCATATGTGGATATGGTAATGGCGTTTTAGATTGGTTTCCAGTGTAAACATCTTGCCACAGACGTCGCATCCATAGCCTGTTTTGCTATCACTATCAAGGAGAGAAGAGTTCTGAACATCCACAGTAGGATTGTCACTGCCGTTCGCAGCCTTTCTTTGGCGAGCTCTGTGGCATTTCAAAGGGCCCGACATGACGTTTTCTTGCTGTGGCCCGCCACTGATTGGTACTGTGCTGTTACCGCCGAGGCCTGTGAACGAGAAGCGCATCAATGTCGGCAAGTGTGATTATCAATCTCGGCAACATTCACAGGTGACTTGTGAATCAGACATTTATGTCGGAGTCGGCGAGGATGTTTGCCGCTAGCCTTAGCAACGTTGAGCCTAAACTTGGGCTTCCATCAGGAAGGGTCCATACCCGCATGGGACGGCTCCACACAGTGTCTCTGAAAACCCATTACGGCGCCTCTGAGGGCCTCACACCGGCGCTTCTGGGGGTTCAGCACCGCCAACCTGAGAGCCTAATACCAATTCTTTTAAGGCCTAGATCGGCGGCGGCTCTGAGGGCCCCAAACTGGCGCCTCTGTGGATCCCTTCCCGCAAGCGCACCTGACGGTCACCTACCTGCAACTCTGAGGGCCCGACACCGGTGACTCTGAGGGCTCCCAGCGGCGCCTGAGAGTACTCTCTTCTCCATCTTTGGGATGCCGGCATACGTGCACTCTGACCGCGGTTCAGCTTTCATATCAGCTGAGCTTCGATGCTTCCTGACAGGACTGGGGATCGCCACGAGTCGCACGACACCGTACCACCCCGAAGGCAACTCACAATGTGAGCGGCTTAACGGCACCATCTGGCGTGCCGGTCAACTCGCTATGGAGAGCAGGAAGTTGAGCAGAGGACAATGGGACGCCGTCCTGCCTGCCCACACGAAAGGATGTTCTCTTTCCAAGGGCGGTCTGCGACGGGGACTTTGCTACCGTCCTGGCTCCTCAATCCCGGGCAGGTTTTCTTGAAGAAATAGTCCGCGGAAAGCTCGACCTGCCAGTCGAGCCAGTCGAACTCCTGGAGGCGAACCCGCACTACGCTTTCGTGCGCTATCCCGGCGGCAAGGTCGACACGGTCTCTGTGCGAGATCTCGCCCCCGGCGGTTGTGCACAGCAACAAGGAAACAAGAAGGGAAAGGAAGCGGACGAGCCGATGTCCCCCGGCATCCGTTCGGAGCCCTCGGGCACGCCGCCTTCGGCCGTGCAGTCCCCGGGATTGCCACTTCGCGTGCCGCGTAACCCGGTGCCCCCAAGTGCGCCGCCATCGCAAGAGTCAGAAGCGGGCCAGGGGCCCTCAAGCGCGCCGCCATTGAGCAAGTCAGAACCGGCGACCGAAGTGCGTCGGTCTAACCGGGCAAGAAAGCCAGTGGTGCGCCTTGACATATGAGAGCATGTAGTATGTACTGAGGCGCTCATTGAAGTCAGAAGTGTGCCTTAGCTTATGAAAACGTGTACAAAGACGCCTGTTGTGTACAACTGTTCGTTGCATAGCTGCTCGATTTCCACCTACTCTGTCTTTTGTTCGTTACATGGCTACTCGATTTCTGCCTGCTCATGTCTTTTCACAGCGGAAGAAAATGTGATGAACCGCCCATTACTGTCGAATGGGGTGCTCTCACTAATATTCGTTGTTTCTGTCTCGTCCTCAGGTACATACTCATATCAGTCCAATTTAGTTGAATAAAACCATTGTATTCATACTATAGCTTTTGGTACAACAACATTCTTCCATTATTTGACATCCTAAATCAAGATATGATACTTACATGTCACCAAAACTACAAAAAGTCACACAATAACTTGATAAAACCCACCCTTCTCACCTCGCGTCACGTAATGTACTCCGAAGAAATTATGCGAATGTGGCGATTGTGAAATAAATAACGTGGTTGCGCCGTTGCCATTTGCAAAAAAGAAAAATGTAAGCATGTTCAATTTGATGAAAAATGACGTCATAATACCAAACAAAAAAGGGGAAAAGTTGGGTGGGGACCGGGGTTTTTGGGTGGGCGGAGCGAAACAATACGACGGAAATAAAAAGTCAGAACCTAACCAAGCCTTACCTAACCTGACCTAGGTACTGATTTTTACCTACCGACCTACTATTGCCTGTAATCTCTCCTAATGCATTGCCTTCGGAACTGCGCTACTTTGCAAAGAGAAATTTCATGACGTCACTTTCCTCACAGTTGAATAGCATTGTTAAAACGTATTCACTCAACCTTGGAGTGCAGTGCGTGGCGGGTGCGTATTTACAAATTGCAACCGAGCTCCGCCGTGGGGTAAGGTGGGCAGGGGTTTTCGCACTACGGCTGCGGTTGAACTACCGTCTGTGGTAGAAACTTCAGGATGATGGCGCGTTTCATACGAAATCTGGCGCAATGTTTGCTTGCTTCTGGACTTGTGTCCATATATGGCCTTGCTTGTGTCATTGCTGTGAATTCTTGAAGTGGGAGTGCTTCAAGAACAATTTGTGGATTATTTGAGTTTCTTTATATAAACATAGAATAATATTATGAAACGTTGTGTGGAAACTGCAAACACTGATATGATCAATTACTTAGTTTGGGAAAATTGATACACATTTTGTAGAGGTTTGTAACAAACCTCAAGCCTATCATGATCTGAAGCTGTTGTAACAAATCAAAATTGCTTTGATGTTACATAGTACATTGTTGAAAAGACTGGAGCATGGTTCAAGATGATGTGTAAAAATTCAAGATTTGTGCGAAAGCTTATGACTGAAGAGTGAAAACAGTTCTATATGATGGCTCAATCAAACGTGGAAACGGACGACAACAGTAGAGTTTCAACATTCCAGCATGTGAGAATAACTTCAGAAATTCATTGTTCTTGTAGTATTGCATTCTTCTTATGTACAGTTATAGGTTTTGTTAGGGTATTTCAAATTCAATGTGTCAGTTGAGATATAGATGAATTGCGGACAAAATTTAGAATCATCATGCTGTCAGATAGGTACTTGTTCGGTAAAAAGGTATGTGATGAATGCCATGAGAAGGTTTTTATGATTTAATATATGGTCATTGTTGTACCTACAAAAATGCAAGCTTACTAGCACCTAGTTTCTGAATCAAATTGAAACTGAAAGTGTTTGCCATGAATGTAAATATGCACCTGCAAACTATGTCAATAAATTTGTGTAATGTTGACCAGAGAGCTTTATCATCTGGACATTTATGTTGCTTCTTACATTAGGCGTTAAGCATAGTAATTACGGATGAACTTTGTGCCAATATCTTCAATGCACAATGTACGTACTTATGTAGCATGTCTACAACCCTCACTGATCCTGCTACAGCTATAGGCATTTGGCACCAGCAAGACCAAGGGCATGAACTTCACAGTTGTACAACCTTTTGTCATGCACCACCAGACCAGTCCACCAGTCACTTTTTTATTTACAAAACAATGCACAGAGGGCCTACACAAAAACAACATGATTAGTGTGCACTATGCACAGCATTGTACCCTGATTATTAGAATATTTTGATCACTCCAGTCAACAACCAGGAGACAATTATTGAATATCACATTTATCATACATCACTTGTCAAACAAGAGCAAAATAACACACATTTTGACAAGCAATCATGGTAGTATTCCAATAAGTTGGACAGTCACCTCCCTGGGCGTCATTTTTCCAGGAAGGTACCTCTGCAGGTGTTGTGGTAGGCTAGGTTGAATTGTAAGGTGGTTAGGACCAGGTCAGACCATAAGGCCTGGTCAGGTTGATTTTAATCTTTCATTCTAATTTGACATAGATACCTATTACCTATGTTTTTGCTCCAGCCTGAATTTCATTAGGTGAAGAGTTAATTTTGCTTTGTTTTTTATCTGTCTTGTTTTGTGTTTTTGTCCCTTATGTTTTGCCCCATAGGCAAGGGTGGAGCTTTTCCAGGGAAGGTGGTGGAGCAAAAGCCGTCAAACGTGCGATGCCCGGTTGCTAAGTTAGGTAATGTGCAACACTGAATCATTTTTTTTTAATTACAGAACTAACATTATGAATTACACAGACATTTCAAAGCTCCTCAATGCGAACAAGATTGGTTTGCTGAGCAATGAAGTTCTACAAATCAGCAAAAGTTGGAGGGGCAGAACGCTAATTTTTTTCTCTGACAGCTTCGTAACATGTTACGAAGGCACCAAAACTACTTCAGTACAGGGTGTAACGAAATTGTCCGGACATCCATTTTTTTCGCCATATCTGTTTGCACAGTTTCCTAATCCTTTCTTAGGTTAGAAGTGGGAATATTGGATGAATACGTGCCTCTGCTATCGGTTTTCAACTCAGCAGTTACCTGACCTTGTCATGTGACTTGCTCTGAGTAGGAGTCGATTCACAGACGGGTTCACATGGTAGTTTTCGTCTAAGGCAGTTGCGAGAAAGGGATAAAATCTCTCCGTTCGTGGTAAAATTGCATGGCGGCATCCACGGCGTCATGAGCCAGAAGCTGGTCTGCCAGCAGCTGGACATCAGCAGCAGCCAATTGCACATCTGCCTGAGGCGTAATAAGCTGGGACTTCGGTGGCAGACTCAGCTCGGTCGCGACCACAAAAGCCGCCCTTTTTCAAGTGGTGAGGAGAGTCATCAAGATAGCGGCAAGGAAATGGCACCAATCAATCTGCATATTGACTCGAATTCTTACCACGTCAGATAATAAGAGGTCCCATATCATGGTTCACCGCTACCCGCCCTTTAACTTGGTTCTAGTGCCCTTCAAACTGGAAAAGACAACGAAACTGACACTGACGGGAAAACAACCAGTTCACCATCTTTCGCCTCACTTCAGAATTCAGATCGCGTCCACCGGTCGAAGAAAGATAACGGTGAGGTGGTCTGGTTGGATGGGTAGCCTAAGCTGTTTGAGCTGTTGGTATTATAGAACCGTCAAATCGGCCATGTATGGGCGGCCAGCCGCTCGAACTTGCTGGCCTTCGCCACCGTCCAACATCCGGGTAATATCCAGATCTGAAGCATGTTCAGGTGCTTAGCAATGCTCCAATAGGACATAGTGTCACAGAATACCGCCATCAACGTCAAGTATTACCGGAGCAACATACTGGCCAATGAATGATTGGAGGCGCTCAACCAGACGGCATAGGAGGGCACGGTTTTTGAACGCGCACTGATGCCTGATTTAAGCCACGCTGTCTTCATGCGGGGCGGCGGCGGGCGCGCTACTTAAAAGTCCCTAAAAGAACGGGAAGTGATGCCGATAGAACCTTCAATCATTCTGGGCTAACGCTTATGACTTGGAAAAAGTCGCGATCCCAATTTAATTGAAAACCTGTGGGCTCTTGTTCAGCAGGAGGTGTATGAAGAGCCACCCGCCATAAGCACCGCTCAACCGCAGGCACAGGTTTAGACGGCGTTGGTCCACATCAAAGCCAGTGTGCTGCAGAATCCATTGGCTGAAATGCTCCAGAACATTCGCCACTGTGTTTTTATGAAAGGTGGCTACTGGCTACGTGCTCAGTTAAAATAAAAAGTACCAGATTGTTTTGCTTTTTAATTACAGCGGGAAGAAAGGTGTCCCGATAATTTCGTTACATCCCCTGTAATGTTCAAATGGTTGCTAAATTCGAAATCAGCTCCAAAAACTAGCCTAGAAACATGTAAAACTCGAAAAAGTGAACCGAGGTCATCAAAGGTCATTGAGCTGACCTGACCTTCAGGTGACCTTGACACCCACCCTAATGCATGGGACCAGCATCATATCACATGTTTCAACGCTTGAAACCACGTGAAGACAGCAACCGCGCGGCTAATGCGAGCCGACATACGCCGAATCGCGATTCGGGCCAAGCATGGTCTCGAGAAATCAGTTGGTGACATACCAGGGAAATAAGCTAAAATTAGAGCGCTCTATTTATTGCTCCTGCCCCATGTTGAAGAGATACCCCTAAAAGCGTGATCTTTTATCGGCCCTTACGCAGCAAGGCAGTACTTCTCAGCCCGGTGGATGGTATCAATAGAAAGAGAATGCGTCAAAGATTAACATGAATTAATTAAAATAACATTAAAATGTTAATTAAGCGTGGAAATTAGTCCCAAACATAAGCTAATTATTGCTCCTACCTCGGCGACGGCGCTCCCCGCAGTCAGCGGAGAAGCTAAAATAAAAGCCACCATCCTCCTCCGTAAGTCAATTTTAGAGCGGCCGAGGAGGCCGAGTGGACCGGTACGGGGCCACCAAACTGAGATAAGACGTGGCTAGCAATTGCAAACCGCCATAGACATCAATATCTTAAGACGTACAGTATGGGATGATTACTCTGAAGCCGGAGTGAAAGCATGAGTAGATTGCAAGAAACGAAATGCATAGATTGGTTGAGTTATGTACAATTGGCACAGCTCAATAGATGAAGCCATTTCTATGATATTGACATTTGACATAACCCTTCCTCTCCTCACCTATGACCTAAGTGCATTGGCAGTTACCGGCATAGTTTTTGAGCACGAGTGTAATTCGCCATCGGACCGCAATGCATGTTGCTAAATGCTAGGCTGCTGCAATGACAACGAACATACGAATACTACCTTCATTTGTAGACGTTTATTTTTTAGGCGTTCTTTGACGTACAAGGGGGCATGCCTGTCGACAACTTGAGTTTCTCCGAATTTCAAAAACTCCCAGAATTTCAATTCCTTATGCACTGTTGTAGGTACAGCTATGTTCACAAGTTTTCGTTTCCTCCTGTTCTAAAAAGGATGATATTTGTCGATTTCGTGCGTCGCTGATAGGAGGGTGCGTTTAATAATTAGGCCCAACGCTTTCTGCATCCGCGAGTACCTTCAAA